TAGAAACACGTGGAAGAGCAGAATATCTCTGGGGTAAAGTTTTGATTTGTTTATTTCCGGGTTGATATTGTCGTCTTCTTCTTTTCTTGGATTTTCTCAAGGACGCTGTTTAGCCTGCTCACTATATTTGTGACTATTCCAACCTACTATGATTTCAAACCAGCATTTAATCTTCAGCAAAAAAATACACGAAAAAGCAAACCCGCTACCACAGCTAATGACTTTCTTACTTTTGTATCACAAGTTCCTCGCTTCACTGTGACTGCAGAGGCTGCTGGTTAAATCATTACAATAGGTTTAATAGGATGTAATGTGGCCTGGAGACACTCAGGGGTCCCGACCCGTCCGCTGAGGATTGGAAGGGTTGGTCGGACGGTGCCAAAGACAGGAAGGGTGGACTTTTTGCAAACTGAAAACAAGATTATTGAGTGCAAGAGAAGCCACGTGGTCACTGGACCTCTCGGTTGGGAATGAGGCCTCTGAATCTCCTGGAACATTTCAGCCACTCGGCGGTTCATCAAACCGCAAAAAGAGGTTGAAGGCAAACATCATGATGCTCGAGGTGGAAAAATAATGTGTTAAAGAAAAGTCTTCTCCTTTGAAGTTTGGGTTCAAATAAAGTCTGTTTGGTGCATAATAGATTCCTCGATCCAACCACAAGCCAAAGGGAATAGAAAAGAAGAATAAAATGGGAAAATATAACACGGGGCTACGGTCTAAAGAGTGAAGGCAGGACACCGCTTGCAGGGAAACAAATGGCCATTCACTGTACCAACAGCAGACCCCTCAGATGTCTCGACCCAGAGGTGCCACATACTCATATTCGGGGTTACACAAAGAGCAGAGGAAAGTATTTAAAAGGTCTATTCAGTTTCTGCGATTGACGGTAGACTATTTAAATTTTCCCTGAGACCACAAAGAACAGCCCCCCGGTGCAGGTTTAACCAGACGGAACATCGTGTGTATTAGTCCCAGGTTTTTGTTCCTGTCATCCTCTCTTTGATGGAACTCTCCCGCGGCGTCACTGTCTCAGTCGTGCAAAACAAAGGAAGTTCCTTTCAAACGTGTTTGCAGTAAACTTCAAACACACGCCGTCTCTCAAATAAAATAAAAAACACAAGAGCAGGAAACCTCCAAATATCTACTGTGATCTCCTCTCCCACCACCCGCGCCTCCATCACACCCAGCCCTGTTTCTCCTGGACCCGCCCCCCCCACCCGCCGGACTCCAGTGGGTGGTGCGATGTCGGGTCTCTGTGGTGGGCCGCTTACAACAGGTCCAGACAATCAGCGTGTTTCTAAATTTAAATGTGTGATTTTTAAGTCTTTGTTTATGGTCGGGCTTTAAAAGAACATTTTTGTTTAAATGGTAATTGCCGCTGGTCTATTTTACTATATATTTATGTAATAAATATGTGACTACATTTACATCTCACTGGCTCTTTGGGCTGTTATTGGCTCTCAGTTCTTAAACCCACAAAAAAACACCTTTCTTGTTATCACCTCATTGTCTCTGTTATTTGCAGTTGTCTATAAAGTTCTTGACTGAGAAAGTCAGTGTACATGGGAATAAATCCTAAATGTCATTTCTCTATCATGACCTCATCAAACCTGCACTCCAAACGGGCGACGCAGGTTTCAACGGTAATTAGATGAAAAATACAAACGTCTCCCTGTAGCGTAATCCGAGATGAGCATTCAATCCTGCTCCGTGTTCACACGGCTCTCGGCGTCCCGACGAGAGACAGCCGGTCCACGGCTGCTGGTTCTTCAACCCGGAGGGATCCGCCTGCACGGCAATATATCAAGAATGCAGAGTGTCTCTGCAGAGGATGTGATGTCACAGCTCAGCGAGCCTCAGCCCGCTCTTTTTCACTGACGTGCTTGGGGGTAAAAAACCCAAATCCAAATGATTGTTAATCCTCATGCCATGAGCCCATGCGTTTGCTGCTGGTTGGGGCACTTTGGATTAGCAACCCAGCAGCGGTGAGTTGTGGAAAAACCTGCCAACAGCCCCCTCGAGTCGCCTTAAACGCATTCAGTACAAAGATGGAGTAATAAGTCCAAAAGGTTTGCAGCATCAATGGAGGAGTGTTTCTTCTCTGACTTCAACCAGGGCTTCTTGATGGGCGCGTAACAGAGTTTCTCCACAGTATCAGCAACACAATCATATGCGGTTTGGCGGTAGTGGCGTTTAGCTTTGACTGCACGCGTTTAGCCGCCATTCACGCTACGCTCACGTGGTCCGTACCCGTCGAAAGTTTGGACGCGTCTTCTCATTCAAACTCGCTGAGAGAATGTGTCCAAACTTCCTGACTGGTCGAGGAGAAGCCGCCGCCGTGGGACTCCTGACGTTGGGCCTGTCGGAGTCCAGCAGGTGATGTGATTGAGGTGACGGTTGACACCAAGCCGGGGGGCGGGGGTGGGGAGTGGGGGGGTGGGGGTGGACTTTTAACATGAAGTCTGGCATGTGGGTGGCAGCTGTTGTGGGGGCCGTGATCTCATGAAGGCAGCTTTTCCACCAACCAATCCCCTCGCTGGCTGTTTGCACAACCCCCCCCCTCCCCCCCCACTCCCCTCTTCAGATCACCCTCCTCGCTCCCGCTCATGTGTGTGTCATACGCATACACCCCCCCCCCCCCCCCACACTTCATGCTCCGTCATGGCAGGAATTTTCCACTCGGCACCGGTGGGAGAACATTGCAGCCAGCTGTCAGTTCCAGTGTGTGCTCGAGTCTCAAGGACCGCTCCCAGACACCCTCTTCCACGCTGAGACATGGTGCGCGCCCCCCCTCCCCTCCATCCCCTCCCCCGCCCCGCAGCCTCCACTTTTAATCCCCGGGTTTATGTTTCATTCCTCGCTAACGTGGATTGAAAAAGAAGCACCACGCAGACGTGAGCGCGTGTGTTTACTGCGACTGTGCAGCAGAAGAATGCAAATCGCTGGGGCCCAAAGGGAGACGTGACATGCTGCTAATGCCCCTCTCTCTCTCCACCTAAAGAATCTTACATGTATCAGCTCCACCACTCATTCCACCCCTCATCTTTATTCCTTTTTACTGTCGCAGCCTTCACCGTCTCCCGCTCTTTAGTTTCATCACCACGGAAACATCCAGTGTGACGGTGCACACGTGGCGTGTGTTCTGTGTGCATGAGAGGCCTGTTATGTAAGCCTGAGCCCGCGCCCCCCCCTCTCCTTCCCGTGTGCCCATACATACCCCCCCCCCCTTGCTTCCTGCGAAATCAGGTCAGATGAGGACGGCCCGTAGACGGCCCCCGTAGTTCTCCAACATCACTAAAAAAAGCCTGCACAGTGCTCAGACTGACCATGTTGTGTAAGTGCTAACGTCAAAGAGATGAAGGAAGATTGTATTCCTGAACAGAGCACGAGGGAGAAAATACTGAAATGAAAAATGCATTGAGAAGATCACGTTGGAATTCTGAGGAAGCCCTTTCCACGAGAATCCATTACTGCCTGAGTTAACATAGAGAGACATGGAAATATAAGATGTAAGATGCACGATGTGAGAAATGGCCGATTGAAGCAAAAATGAAAACAAAAGAATCCAGATGTTCAGAGTTCTGGTGTAACTCACTGCAGCAGGACACATGCCGACATAATCTTATGGGTTAACTCCTTAAAGATGAATATCAGAGGCTTTGTGAGCTTGAAGTCATGAAAGAATGGCTTCTAGACCAGCGGTCGGTGGTCTGCTACGGTAAATAAGTGGAATCTTTATGGAATGATGATTAAATATGAAATGGAGATTTGAGCGAAGGGGCACAAAGGACGTTGTGTGTCAGATGGATCCGTAGGATTACGTCCCATAGTTCAGGATGTGCTGACGCAGGTGTGGAGGGTCATCCCGGGACAACAGCAAGAAGGATGTCTCAAAGCACACCAGCATGCACTTCCAACAGAGACCCAAAACACCAGAGTCTGCACCACCTGAAACCCTCTCGGTGACTGAGCGCATCACCATCAATCTCAACTGTGTGAGAGAGTGTGTTAATCGCTATAAACTGTGCACTGTCCTGTTTGTGTCTTTATAATTCAGTTTCAGGGAAATAATTTGATAAATGCTGTGTGTGCAAACTCCCTAACATTACACAAGATGTGATTGATGAACATCTTCAGACAAACAAGCCTCTGCACTTATGTGACAATTTAGCAGCCTTGCTGGAGAGATGAGTAAATTGGGATGAAATAGATTTCAGAGGAGCTCTGCAGGCCAGTCAAGTTGGGACATTGGAACAAGGAGCAGGCTTCTTCTGCATCTGGAATATCTTCAACCCATCAGTGGTAATAAATTCTTCATTGCACAGTAACAAATTATTTAGTCAACAAGGCTACGCCCGACATAATGTAGCTCTTGCTATGCATCCCAGGGGCCATAGCTGGATTGGTAGACAGCCTGCAAATCATAAAACATAAACGATTAAATGAGTTGTGTGTGTTCTTAAGAGAAGTTGCATGTCATCATACCTTTGCCTAAATCTGCTGAAATGTGCGTTATGCACTGAAGCTCATAAACTACTCATGAGACACGGCGCTATATCAGCATGTTGTGTGCTGTGTGCTTATCTAAGATCTATGTTATTTTATGTCCGTTATAACGTCGCTGGCAAGCATGTAGTGTGATGCTACAGCTCGGAGCTCAAGACAAATTTCTCTGTGGGACAATAAAGAATAAATGTTAAAAAGATATACGGCCAAGATTCAATTTGACGTATGCTTTTTATTATATACAGGTGTTTAGAGTCTGCTGCCAAAACCCAAACGGCAAATTGATATTTTTCAGGAAAACAACCCACCATGTGGAGACTACAGCTTCCACGCTGGGTGCTTAATATTACGAATCTGAGCGCCATCGTGCGGCAACTAGGAGCATAACTGGCAACGCCGACGTACATGACGTCATCCGAGGAAGCGGAAGTTGCCCACGTTCAACAATGTCTGCCGGGGTCTTCTCTCAGTGAACCAAACAGAACTCGTGGAGAATGGGAGACGGCGGAGTTGACGAGCTGTCGCAGCTCGAATATTTATCTTTGGTGTCCAAGGTCTGCACTGAGCTCGACAACCACCTGGGAATAAGTGACAAAGATTTAGGTTGGTAACGTTCGTTGTGAGGCAGCAAACGAAAAAAAACAACAACGGCTAGCTAACGCTAGCTACCTTGTACTAACCGTTGTCTAGCTGCCGACTCTTCCGTTTACACTGATAAACTGGACTGTTTTTTCCTACACATTTTCTTTTTGGGTGGAGTTTAGCTTAGCATAGTGTAAAGAAAGCTAGCTTGGAGGTTTGGGCTTGTAGATACGTTAAGTTATTGCTGTAGATTTAAACGTTATTCAACTAAACTAGCTAAGCTAGCAAGAGTTCGCTTTGCTGCCTGTTAGGTGCTATCGTTAATTTGTTGGTTAATTTTTTTTCGGCAGCTGAATTTGTCATCGACCTCGCTGAAAAGCAACCGACCTTCGATGGATTCAAAGCTCTTTTACTCCAAAACGGAGCCGAATTCACAGTAAGTTCAACCACGAATGCTACATAAAGCTACTTCAGAAGGCTGCTAACGTAAACAGCTATGCTAGCTTGCTGACGGCAACGTTACCTGACAACTTGACGTACGCATTGGGTCTAATCGACTGTTTTTTGTCTTCTTTTGTAGGATTCCCTCGTCGGTAACTTGCTCAGGCTCATTCAGACAATGCGACCGCCATCCAAGACATCTGCGAGCAAAGGTTAGATAATAATGAAGATTGTAAATAAATTGTGTATTTATTGTTTTCTATTGTATAATTGTTATGCTACATGGGTGACATTTCTTATTTTCATCTTGTACCAACGTTAGTTGAAAATGGGATTGCTTTGGGGGGAAAGCACATTTTACTCGTAAATACAATTCCCCCATACATATGTTGTGTGGTATAAATGGAATATGTAAATATGTGTATACAGTTTCCTGCAATTGTATGATGTGTGGCCTGATTCATTTCTGCCGTGGGAAAAATTAAAACTATATCTAACGCATACATGTCCATTTCCAGTCTCTGAGGCTGTGGTCAAACCGAAAACTGAGAAGGATAAGCTGAAGGAGTTGTTTCCTGCACTGTGTAGAGCAGATGATCCGGCCCCAAAGGTACGTTTTACCATACGATTTGTCGGTGGTATCGGATCGACTCTGTCACTGTTAGAAATGATACAAAGCCAGATTCGGGAAAGTCGGCACCCTGCCGTACCAGCGACAACTACGATGGCAAGAATTCACCATTCCAGAAGAGAATTTAATATGAAAACTATTAACTATTAAATTAAATATTAACAAATAGAGGGCCTCTGCTGATTGTTTTATTTGACTGACTTTCTCAGAAGCTATTAGATGAAGATGACGTGAAGGTAGCAGCTGATGCCATGAAAGAGCTGGAGATGTTTCTGCCCAGTGTCAGCGGGACAACCCCCAAAAGCAGCAAGAGCAGGTAAGACGACATCCTCTTCATACGCCTTCTCGACAAATGAAGTCAGTGTTATGTTTGATAAGTTTTTACTGAATGAATTCAACCCTTACACACATGTCTACTCCGGTTGGTGATGTTTACTTTTATCTTCTCCTCATACGTCTTCTAACAGGTCAGAAAAGAGCCGACGCCATAGCCGAAGTCGCAGCAGGAGCAGAGACAGACACAGAGACAGAGATCGGGATAAGGACAGGAAAAAACGGCACCGCTCCAGGTCCAGGTCTCGCTCCAGAGATCGGGATCGACAAAGAGATGGCGACAGGGATCGGGATCGACAAAGAGATGGCGACAGGGATCGGGGCAAAAGAAGAGACAAATCCTCCCGCTGGTCTGAGCGCTCGCCGAGTCCCAAAAAAGACCAAGACAGAGATTCCGATCGCTGGAAAGACAAAGCTGTGGATCGCCCGCCGCCAGAAGAACCTTCTGTTGGCGACATATACAACGGCAAAGTCACCAGTATCATGCAGTTTGGATGCTTTGTTCAGCTGGAGGGATTGAGGTCAGTATTTAGAGGGACTGCAGGAAAAAAAATATATATAGTATCGTCTATTTCAGGATAACTGTGCTATTCATGCACTGTTGGAGACTTCAATAATAATCAATTTGTTTAATGTAGTGGTGTAGTAATGTATTGGAATAGTACAGTAGTGGCTGCATAGGATTGTCTTGGAATAATCCAAACATTTCCAGCAACTCCAGAACCGTACAGTCAGAATCCCCAAAGGATTTCCGTACATGGTTTATGAAAATGTAAATACAAAAATGTCTATGCTCCCTGACTTGCTAGACACAAAAGGAGACACACGTGTTGTTATGTACTAGTATTTGTCTGTTATTCCGTGAGTCAAGTCAAACATTGAGTTCTTTGTTGGTAGGAAACGATGGGAGGGCCTGGTCCACATCTCCGAGCTGCGCAGAGAGGGCCGCGTGGCTAACGTCGCTGATGTTGTCAGCAAAGGCCAAAGAGTCAAGATCAAGGTTCTCTCGTTCACCGGCTCCAAGACCAGCCTCAGTATGAAGGTACGAAAATGACTGAAAGAACGGTTTCCTGTGAAGTGGAATACAATTAATTAAAAGCTGTGTTTGCAAAAATGTCAGGCTCAGGTTAGAAAACTGAGATCTTCATAGCGGCATTAGTGCTGAATTGATTTCTTATTTTGTTTTTAATTAAGTCTGATCCTTTATATCAGAACGGGCAATTGTTTGAGCCAGTGACTCCTCATCATGTAAATTGATGATGAAGCTGTTGTGAAATTCTCACGAGGTATTAGGAAAGAATATGTTGAAATGCTACCATCGGTAGACTCCTGGCCTCCTGAATGTCTACAGTTACCTGAATGTAAAGGACCTCATTTGTTTCTCATATCTTTACCAGGATGTGGATCAGGAGACAGGAGAAGACCTGAACCCCAACAGGAGGAGGAACGTGGGCCCAGATGGAGGGGATGAGATCACCATGAGGAACCCCGACCGGCCGAGCAACCTCAACCTTGGCCACGCCCCCGAGCTGGAGCAGGACGATACCCTGGAGCGCAAGAGGCTCACCAAGATTTCTGACCCAGAGAAGTGGGAGATCAAACAGGCAGGTTTTTATACAGTGTGGCTCTGCACACATCAAGGTGGTAGATGCTGCTTGTAGGAGACTAACACCTTTTTTTAATCTTCAATTTTTGATAATCCCTCAGATGATTGCTGCCAACGTCCTGTCGAAAGAAGAGTTCCCTGATTTTGACGACGAGACAGGAATCCTGCCTAAAGTAGATGACGAAGAAGGTAAGAACTAAGGACATTCTCTCCAGCCTCAGTTGTTCTGTGTTTACTGCTAACTATTAAACAATAGCATGCTAACACACTGAACAAAGTGACAAATATATCAGTGGCACGTCAGCATGGTGCTGTTAGCATTGAGCCTGAAGCACTCAAGTAAGTTGAACTTCTAGCTCATTCATCTTGTATGCTGCTGTTTCAGATGAAGATTTGGAAATTGAGCTGGTTGAGGAGGAACCCCCGTTCCTGAGGGGACACACCAAACAAAGCATGGACATGAGCCCCGTCAAGATTGTCAAGGTACTTCTGAGGGTGTGGTGTAATGTAAATACACAGCAGAGAGGCAGCGGCACAGCCAACCTTAGGCTTGAATTAGAATTCATTAATTCCATCTGATCATTCTGTGGCAGCTTGTGGTTTGTGGATTTTTGATTAATAATATCCAATAACTTAAAGAGTCTGGATAAAATGTCTTTTATATCTAACTGATTTAGAAGCTGTTCAATAGTGCCTAAAAACATACGTGTCTGTACCCTAAATAAATGTGCACCTAAATTATGACATGCCGTGTCTTCCTCTGGTGTAGAATCCAGATGGTTCTCTGTCTCAAGCCGCCATGATGCAGAGCGCTCTGGCTAAAGAGAGACGAGAGCTGAAGCAGGCCGCACGAGAGGCCGAGATGGACTCCATCCCCATGGGTCTGAATAAACACTGGGTCGACCCGCTGCCGGACGGTAAGAAGTCAGTTAGATGGGCTTGTTAAGGGGTTGCTTAACTGATTTTGAAGGATGATTCATCAAATCCCCGCACAGCCATAAACCATCTGCATATTCATTTTCTATACATTATTTCTTTTTGCTAATCCAGCTTGACACTTAAGCAGTGTCCCGTTTTATTGTACCTGGTCTGCTGGTATGCCCGACCCCCAAAAATTGTTTTGTTTCCTTGTTGTCATCTTCCGCCGCTCTGTTACAGTCGATGGTCGTCAGATCGCAGCTAACATGAGAGGCATCGGCATGATGCCCAATGACATCCCGGAGTGGAAGAAGCACGCTTTCGGAGGAAACAAAGCTTCTTACGGAAAGAAGACCGCAATGTCCATCCTGGAGCAGAGGGAGAGCCTCCCCATCTACAAGCTGAAAGAGCAGCTCATTCAGGTTGGTCAAAAAACAAACCCAACGGGACACTTCCATCAGATGCAGCTTTATGTTATGCAGTTTATGAAGGAGTCTGACTTTTGACGCATTTAATGCATTTCAACGGATGAATAACACTCGCTCTTTGTGTGTCAATGCAGGCCGTTCACGACAATCAGATCCTGATCGTCATCGGAGAGACGGGCTCCGGTAAGACCACACAGATCACTCAGTACCTGGCGGAGGCCGGCTACACCACCCGGGGGAAGATCGGCTGCACGCAGCCCCGTCGAGTGGCCGCCATGTCCGTGGCCAAGAGGGTGTCCGAGGAGTACGGGTGCTGTCTGGGTCAAGAGGTGAGAGGCCCGGACACGGGATGAAGATGTCCACCTCGCGTTAAATCTCAAGGAGGTTAACGTAAACGTTTGTTCCTCCAGGTGGGTTACACCATCCGTTTTGAGGACTGCACCAGCCCGGAGACGGTGATCAAGTACATGACAGACGGCATGCTGCTGAGGGAGTGTCTGATCGACTCTGAACTGGGCCAGTATGCCATCATCATGCTGGATGAAGCTCACGAGAGGACGATCCACACAGACGTTCTGTTCGGTTTGCTCAAGAAGGTGAGCGGGAAGACCAGAGGCCGTTTGTTATTCATACATTTAGTGGAACGTGTTGTGTTCCTTAGAAAGCTGAGTGTTTTTCTTTGTCCATCTCAGACTGTGATGAAACGCACGGACATGAAGCTGATCGTAACGTCGGCCACGCTGGACGCCGTGAAGTTCTCTCAATATTTCTACGAGGCGCCCATCTTCACCATCCCTGGAAGAACTTATCCGGTGGAGGTTCTATACACCAAAGAGCCTGAGACGGACTACCTGGACGCCAGCCTCATCACAGTCATGCAGATTCACCTGACTGAGCCTCCAGGTAGCTGCTTCTTTCATTTGTGTTGTCCTTCTTCCCCGGTTGACCCCAAACATCTGTCCTCGTGTCAGAATCCAACTCTCTCATCTCTCTCTCTCTCTCTCTCCAGGGGACGTGCTGGTGTTTCTGACGGGACAGGAGGAGATTGACACCGCCTGTGAGATCCTGTACGACAGGATGAAGTCACTTGGGCCCGACGTTCCCGAGCTGATCATTCTGCCGGTTTACTCTGCGCTGCCCAGCGAGATGCAGACCAGGATCTTTGACCCGGCACCCCCGGGCAGCAGAAAGGTGCCCATTTCTACCTTTTTAAACATTCAAATGCTTAAAAACAGAACCCAGTTTAGATAACATTTTTTTGATTACGTATTTACATGATCCAAATCTTTCCAACACAGAGAAATGGGTAGTTTTAATCAATGCAAAGGTTCTGCTTGATTTCGTCATCTTTCCCCCCTCTGATGGGAAAATAAGAGATCCTCCATTTGTTTATATATTTGGACTCGCATCCATTGTTTCCTCCCATCAGGTGGTCATCGCCACAAACATTGCAGAGACGTCTCTGACCATCGATGGAATCTATTACGTGGTGGATCCCGGCTTTGTCAAGCAGAAAGTGTACAACTCAAAGACCGGCATCGACCAGCTGGTGGTCACTCCCATCTCGCAGGTACCGTAGATTTATCATCCACGTTATTCGGAGGAAAGCGCCAATGTTTCCGCATTTTTCAGAAATTACTCCCGTTACTGTTGGTTTCCAGGCGCAGGCCAAGCAGAGGGCGGGTCGTGCCGGCAGGACGGGCCCGGGGAAGACGTACCGGCTCTACACGGAGAGAGCCTACAGAGACGAGATGCTGACCACCAACGTGCCCGAGATCCAGAGGACCAACCTGGCCAGCACCGTGCTGTCGCTCAAGGTGAGCCGGTAGACGCTTTCTCCTATCTGACACGGCAGAGTTCTGATTGTGTGTGTGTTTCTAGTACGGTGTCAATGATGTGCTTACTCATTATTCATCAAAGAGAAGTCTTCAAGCTAAACTTTCTCAGCGTTGAGGTTCATAACATTGAAAACCGTTAAAATAACACGTCGCTGTCTGTTCTCCAATGTTTTGTTTTCCTCCTTCAGGCGATGGGCATCAATGACCTCCTGTCCTTTGACTTCATGGACGCTCCTCCCATGGAGACGCTGATCACGGCCATGGAGCAGCTCTACACTCTGGGTGCTCTGGATGATGAAGGCTTACTCACCCGACTGGGGAGGAGGGTGAGCAGCGCGTTCAGCCCGCCAAGATGAAGAGGATACATTGAGATCAAATCACATTTGTGTAGCTTTGATAAACAATTGATGTATAATTTAATGTTATTTTCTTTGATGCCTTCCACGTCCCTCTTGTCTTAATTTTTAGGCTGCAGTTATTTCCTGTTCTTCATCTTCTCCTTATTTTTGCATCTGCGTTCTAGATGGCGGAGTTCCCTCTGGAGCCCATGTTGTGCAAGATGTTGATCATGTCCGTCCATCTGGGCTGCAGTGAAGAGATGCTCACCATTGTCTCCATGTTGTCCGTGCAGAATGTATTCTACAGGCCCAAGGTATTTCACCACAAAGTTTAGTTTATTTTGGACGACCAAGATTAAAGCACTATTTTGGAAGTGTTTTACCGTCTATGGAAACGGATCAATTAATGCTTGTTTGCAAATTAATCAAAACACTATATTGGCAATTTAGCCTGTGTTTTTATTGGTGTGTGTGTGTGTGTGTATATATTCCAAATTTAAATTAAACAAAATCCTCACGTTTTATTAATTAGTTGCAGTCACTAGTTTAAAAGAAATATGCCACAGCAGTCTGGAATTGTACTAAAAGTATATTTATCTACAATGGTTTCATTATCCTCATTATTATACCATCATTTTCTACAGAGTAAATCACACACTTCCTTAAATAAGTTTAAACTGGCCATTATTGGTTCCAAGTTGTTCAATTGGTGATCTCTATAAATGATGCAAAATATAATTTCCATATAATGGCTCCTCATCTCTTTTTCTCTATCTTGTGTTACAGGACAAGCAGGCCTTGGCTGACCAGAAGAAGGCCAAGTTTCACCAGCCGGAGGGGGACCACTTGACCCTGCTGGCGGTCTACAACTCCTGGAAGAACAACAAGTTCTCCAACCCCTGGTGTTATGAGAACTTCATCCAGGCGCGCTCCCTGCGCAGAGCCCAGGACATCCGCAAGCAGATGCTGGGAATCATGGACAGGTGTGGTCATCACGATGTCGGCAGCTGACTCTGCAAACAAAAATTCTTGCCTTGTTTCTCATAAAACATCCCAACGTGCTCTCTTCTTCTCAGGCACAAACTGGATGTGGTATCTTGTGGTAAGGCGACCGTACGGGTCCAGAAAGCCATCTGCAGCGGCTTCTTCAGGAACGCGGCCAAGAAGGATCCTCAAGAGGGCTACCGCACCCTGATAGACCAGCAAGTCGTGTACATCCACCCCTCCAGCGCCCTGTTCAACCGACAGCCTGAGTGGTACGACAACCGCCTCGCTGCCGCCGGCCGCCACAAAAATAAAATGTATTTAACGATCCTTTCCAAATGTGGGACAGCCTTGTGACGTCCCGCCTCTCTCTTCCTCAGGGTCGTGTACCACGAGCTGGTGCTGACCACCAAGGAGTACATGCGGGAGGTGACCACCATCGACCCCCGCTGGCTGGTGGAGTTCTCCCCGGCCTTCTTCAAAGTGTCCGACCCCACGCGCCTCAGCAAGCAGAAGAAGCAGCAGCGCCTCGAGCCGCTGTACAACCGCTACGAAGAGCCCAACGCCTGGAGGATCTCCCGCGCCTTCAGGCGCCGCTGAAGTGGTCCCGCGCCCCCTCCGGTGGGCGGCGTTTTCTGTCATCATCACTACTTCGAGCTTCACTTCTTTTATTTGTACACATTGTACATCCCCCTCTCCCCAGATGTTCCGACATTAAACCGTTTAGGTCCGAATTTTAGTGTCAGCATTTTATGAGACGTTAAACTATTTTCGCAGCACTAATACAGGAACAACAAAACCTTCCACGTGTGAAGTTTTAAAGTTAATCTTCTTTGAGAAGAAGTGCAAAACAATGGAATATTTATTTTGACTAAATTCCAAAAGCATAATGTTGTGCCCAATTAGACCTGATTGTAATGGACTTTTTCTGTAATCGCTAGTTTTCATTCCATGAATATTGAGCTGTATGGATTTTGTACTGTGTCTTGAACACCTTTCACTTACTTGGCCTCTTAACGAAGTCTGTTGCTTTGCTGTACTTACCAGTGGACCTTAGAAAATGTGTCGTCATTAAAGTTTTTTTTTTTAAACCTAGCATCTTGTTTTCGTTCATTTTTAAGTAGATTGAGAGTTACACAATATACGGAGATGGTTCTGTTGTCCAAACTGCACAGAAAGAATAATGCATTCTCAGTTTAAAAAAATATATTTTTAAAGTATAAATATGAATACACCGTTTATAAGAAAAGGTCTTTCCTTCTAAATTGTGCGTACGTTTTGGTGGGATATCAACCAAATGCATGTAAATTTTTTGGGGGTTGAGAAAAGTAACCTGTGTAACTGGTAGACTAATCAAAGAAATACCTTGGGGTTGAAGTGTTATGTAGTATAAAAGTGGAGAACTCTATTGAAAAACTAGTACGAGTTGCCTTAATCCACTACGGTGCTAGTCGTTACAGCTGTAGTCCACGTGTCCCCCGGCAGGGGGCAGTAGCGCTGCGAAACCTTCATTGGGGCGCAAACTAAAAAGAATCCCTTCCGGTATAAAATACAAAATAAACAGAAATGGACGCGTTAGACGAAATTAAACGTCTCGAGTATTTATCTTTAGTGTCCAAGGTGTGCACGGAGTTGGAGAATCATCTGGGAATAAGCGAGAAAGATCTGGGTAATGTCACGACGGCCGTAGGTTTTCTCAGCTAGTTTACGTTAGCTAGCCCACAAAGCTAGCTAGCTAACTGGTGTGATAGTTTGTCAGTGAGTAACTTAACGTCAGTTGATCTTTTTCAGCGGAATTTATCATCAGTCTGGCCGAGAAACACCCGACATTTGAGGGATTCAAAGCCACTCTGTCTAAAAATGGAGCAGACTTCACAGTACGTGTGCAGCTATAGATAAACAAACACTTTAACATTCACGTTTGTTTCCGTTGTTCTGTGTTTAACTCCACCTTTCTCGTTTCAGGATACCTTTATTGCTAATCTACTCAGACTTATTAATGCTATGCGACCATCTTCAAGTACAGGTACAGAAACCTAATACGGTATAAGTTGCGTCATTATGACTCGTGTTTTAAAGCTTTATGTCTGCCCTTAAACTAACCTGTACCTTCTATGTTATGTGTGTGAGACAGGTCATCAGTCAGAGGTCAAACCAAAGGGTGAAAAGGACAACCTGAAGCAGAAATATCCAGCTTTATGTAAACCAGATGATCCTGTGTGGATAGTACTGCTCTTTCTTTTCTATTTGGCAGTGGCATAAATAATATATTGTAATATATAATCATAATATACTGCGGTTTATGATATTTCATTGATGGAGTGGTTGTCACTAATTATCATCCCTCCTTTAGATTCCACCTCTCCACAAAGAAAGAAATGATGAGCAGGTGGCAGCAGCGGCCATGAAGGAGCTGGAGATGCTGATGCCGAACTTCTGTGGAACAAGCACCGACAATGGGTATAATTCGTATTAAAAGTCTGACTCGTTTGGAAAAGGAGGGGATAAAACATGACACAAGTGTTCAGTTTGGGACATATTTTAAAACAGAACTGTCAGTTTGAAGTTCAAATTGTTCCTGTAGTTTGCTGTGTTTGTTGTCCTCAGGTCAGGCAGTAATTTGGACTCCGCCAGAAGTCGAGACACAGACCGACAAATCGGACGTCGCCGAAGTCGTTCTCGATCCAGAGAACGCGACGGAGACGCAAACCCACAGCGAAAAAGGAAACGGGCGTCTCGCTGGAGCGACTATCCACCGAGCCCCCTCCGAGACAATGACAACAGCAAAAAAGATGATGAGAACAACACCAAGAAGGACGACAGAGACTCTGACCGCGGGCGTGATCGACTTGTGGATCGGCCGCCCGCTGAAGAACCAGTTGTGGGCGACATCTACAACGGCAAAATCAGCAGTATTATGCAGTTTGGCTGTTTTGTGCAGCTTGAGGGCCTCAGGTCAGTCAGATGCGCGTAGTCAGCGGAATACTAATGACGGATGGGGACGTGCCGCAAAGGGCCGCAGGTCTGATTCAAACCAGGACACCTGATTGTCACCTACTTTTACAATTCTTGCCCTTGCACTAAATTTTCATATCAAACCAGGCTAAAAACACCCCCGGGGTACCGCCTTGTGTAGCATTCAGATGTTCTTCTTGGTCTGCAATGTTGCTTTGGTGATTGCGTCTCGATCCCAACCGGTAGTGTGCAACTGTCCGCAGGAAACGCTTTGAGGGTCTGGTGCACATCTCTGAGCTACGCAAAGAAGGGCGTATCGCCAACGTGGCTGACGTGGTCACCAAAGGCCAGAAGGTGAAAGTCAAAGTGCTGTCCTTCACCGGAACCAAAGCCAGCCTCAGCATGAAGGTGAGTCGCGTGTGAAAGTTCAGGGGAAACGGTGGTTTGCACGTTACACCTAAAGGAATCAAGGGGGGGATAAAATACCTAATCACTTAATAAGAAGGCTAATGATGATTTGAAGTGTTGCAATTGCTGATTAGTTTGTAACAAAAGGTGAGTCGTACATTTGGATCCGTTCCCCACTGTTAGACAATGTCATGAAATCAAATTAGTTCATCACATGGTTTTTATTTGCATGTAATTGTTAACCTGATTCATTCATTTGCAGCATCCGACATAATAGTTGATTTCTCAAATGTTGGCAACAAAATGAGCGGGTGATCATTTCCTTCGTTTCCAGGACGTCGACCAGCAGACGGGGGAGGACCTGAACCCCAACCGGAGAAGAAACCTGGACCCTGGAGTGGGAGACGAAGCCATGAGGAACCCCGACCGCCCCGTTGAAGCCAGCATGGTGGAACCAGAGGAGAACCCGTCGGAGCGCAAACGGCTCGCCAAGATAACCGACCTAGAGAAGTGGGAAATCAAACAGGTATCCTGCCCACACATTGCGGTCAAAGTGTTGATACTTCCTCGGAGGGGGGTCGTCTGTGGCGTTTCTTCTAACAATTGAGATAAAAACATTCGTTGTCCGGTTCAGATGATTGCTGCCAACGTACTCCCTAAAGAAGAGTTTCCAGAATTTGACGAGGAGACGGGGATCCTTCCCAAAATAGATGACGATGAAGGTAAAAACCTTTTTTCATCCTTAAATTTCTGCTAAATAAAAGGCACACTGCATAATAACGTCTCCTCTGCAACTGTTTGTATCCACAGATGAAGAATTGGAGATTGATCTGGTCGAAGACGAACCACCGTTCCTCAGGGGACAGACTAAATTCAGCACTAACATGAGCCCAGTCAAAATAGTAAAGGTCTGTATCGCAACCTGTGATTCGTGGTTCAAAAGGAAACGGATCGTTCTATTGATCTGAATGAAGTGAGACTTGTGTCACTCAGGCAGGAAGCAAAATGAGTTTAGCATTTACACCCCGCCCAAGGTTAACTTTTAAATGCATGGATGTTCACAAGGTTCCTCCTAAAATGTAATGATTATCTGATCACTAAATGCTAAGTGGGATTTTGCAGTCTGAAAAACATAGATTGCATTGAACGCTGAAGTGCTCCACGACAACGGATACCAGGAAAATGCGTCAATATGCTGAAAAATAGTACTAATAACTACAACGAAGAAGCGCCGGCTCTATATGAATAGATAGAATAAAACAGCATAATTGTATTGTGATCCTTTTTTAATGTGTATGTATTTTGGCTGTTCTGATTATTATGGACTTATTTTAGGAGCTGAGGTTGAACAAAACGTTAATGCATTTTTGAGATTGTCATATGCGTTAACAAACCAAAGCCAATCCACAGATTCCAAATCCAAGAATATCCTGAATAATGCATTAAGTCTATAGAACCTTTTTTCTATTTGTAACTGCGGAGGCGGTTTGATTCCATTTGTTTCTTCATCCTCGAAGCAACAAGTGTTTCCTCTCCGCCCTTCAGAATCCGGACGGCTCCCTCTCCCAGGCGGCCATGATGCAGAGCGCTCTGTCCAAGGAGAGGAGGGAGCTGAAGCAGGCGGCCCGTGCAGCAGAGTTGGACTCCATCCCGACCGGCATCCACAAGAACTGGATCGACCCGATGCCCGATTGTAAGGACTTGCTCTACACCTGCGCAATGATCCGGCCGGCTCGAACAAAGACCCAGGCTTTAACCGTGTGACCTTCAGGCGTCATTGGCGCAGCATTATTAACCGGAAATTAATTTCTGGGACGTAATCAATCAATGCTGTGTCAGACTATGAATGTACAAAATGAAAGTGAGCCACGGGTCTTGTGCCAGGCCCATTTACGCTGTTACATTGTTACGGTGGCGTGGCTGGAGATGATTATCTAGCTTCCCCATGAGTTTACTGACTCTGTGAATCTGTCTTCCGCACCCCGAGGGCATATCGGAGGTTTCCCAAGTAGCTTCCAGGCCTGGTCGCTACCTCTGACTCGCAGTTTAATCCGAGAAGAGCTTGTTAGGACATCAAGTTATCATTGCAGTTCATCTTGATCAAACTAAATAGTAGGATCTTGCCGGAACCTGACATCAGTCCTGTTCCTCTCCTGCCGCAGATGAAGGAAGGCAGATCGCTGCCAACTTGAGGGGCATCGGTGCGATGCCTCTCGACCTTCCAGCGTGGAAAAGATACGCCTTCGGAGGGAACCAGGTGTCGTACGGCAAGAAGACCGAACTCTCCATCGTGCAGCAGAGAGAGAGTCTTCCCATCTATAAGCTCAAGGAACAGCTTGTTCAGGTACAACTGGTGCACTCGTTCAGTGTTGAGATTTGGGGATATTTTCCTTTACTAACAAGACTATTGGAGGGGGAAAAAAACGCTTTGTAAATATTTATAGAGATCTATTTTAGATCCAAAAGTCAACATCTTGAATTAAAAGTTTTTTGAAATTGTACATTTGTTATAAAAACTTTCAAATTATTTGAAGTTAAGCAATTATCATGATAAACATAGAATGGGGGGAAAACAATGGAAAATGTAATTCTCTTTACAATTATAAAAGATTTAACCAATAACAAAAACAGTACCCGTATATCCTGCATGCACATAAACTGCAGCGGCATCAAAAGTTGTTTCGCTCTTTAATATCTCTTTTATTACCTACGTGTACTATTTGTCTTCACAGGCCGTTCACGACAATCAGATCCTGATCGTCGTCGGAGAGACGGGCTCCGGTAAGACCACGCAGATCACTCAGTACCTGGCGGAGGCCGGCTACACCACCCGGGGCAAGATCGGCTGCACGCAGCCCCGTCGAGTGGCCGCCATGTCGGTGGCCAAGAGGGTGTCCGAGGAGTACGGGTGCTGTCTGGGTCAAGAGGTGAGAGGTCGTCATCAGTCTGACCCTGGCGAAGGACCTTTCCTCCCTCCTGCGTCGTTTGTCCCCGTTAATCCGCAACCGGCCTTCGCTCCAGGTGGGTTACACCATCCGATTCGAGGACTGCACCAGCACGGAGACGGTGATCAAGTACATGACGCACGGCATGTTGCAGAGGGAGTGTCTGCTGGACGCCGACATGAGTCTGTATTCCATCATCATGCTGGACGAGGCCCACGAGAGGACCATCCACACCGACGTGCTCTTCGGACTTCTCAAGAAGGTCTTTTTGTTGCGTTCTCCAAACGGTGCTTTTTAAACTACATCAACCGCTGTGTTTCACTGTAACTTCCTCCGCCCCTTTTTTTATTATTTTTTTGTAGACGATACAGAAGCGCAAGGACATGAAGCTGATCGTGTCCTCCGCCACGCTGGACGCTGTCAAGTTCTCCCAGTACTTCTTTGAAGCGCCCATCTTCACCATCCCAGGAAGGACTTTCCCGGTGGAGGTTCTCTACTGCAGAGAGCCCGAGACGGACTACCTGGACGCCAGCCTCATCACGGTCATGCAGATCCACCTGATGGAGCCCCCGGGTACGCCGGTGTCAGGGAACACACTCCACATCTGGAATTATAAAATACTGTCTGGTATATAAGACACCTAACGGCGTCTTTGTTGGACAAAAACTCATTTTTGCACAAATGTTTCCCTATAATCTGTCCCCAGGGGACGTGCTGGTGTTTCTGACGGGACAGGAGGAGATTGACACCGCCTGTGAGATCCTGTACGACAGGATGAAGTCACTCGGGCCCGACGTTCCCGAGCTGATCATTCTGCCGGTTTACTCTGCGCTGCCCAGCGAGATGCAGACCAGGATCTTTGACCCGGCGCCCCCGGGCAGCAGAAAGGTGATGACATCAGAGCTGTGTGCTCATTCAAGTTTCCCCAATAGTAAAATACATGTGTTTTGCTGTAAAAGTTCACTTTATATGATTTAATGCCCCTCTTTTAATTGGAACATATTTATCTCGAGCTCCGCACGAAAAAAAAAAAAAAGATTGACCTGCTTATAGCAGGATTCATTTCTAATCCTGAGATTCTTTTTCTTCTACTGGCAGGTCATCATCGCCACAAACATCGCTGAGACGTCTCTGACGATCGACGGGATCTACTACGTGGTGGACCCCGGCTTTGTCAAACAGATCGTGTACAGTTCCAAGTCGGGGATCGACCAGCTGGTGGTGACTCCCATATCACAGGTGCGACCATTCGGATACACCCCCCGTCGTCAGGAAGGAAACATTCTTAAAAGATATAGAAGCGTATTGTCTTAGACACAATCTGCTCTTTGGTTAATGCAAAATATCATAATACATTCATACAAGACACACACACGGCAAACCGTTGTCCTAACTATGGTGCACATAGATTAACATGACATGTGTGTTCTCTGATTGGTTTCCAGGCGCAGGCCAAGCAGAGGGCGGGTCGGGCCGGCAGGACGGGCCCGGGGAAATGTTACCGGCTCTACACGGAGAGAGCCTACAGGGACGAGATGCTGACCACCAACGTGCCCGAGATCCAGAGGACCAACCTGGCCAGCACCGTGCTGTCGCTCAAGGTGACGTGCCGGACGCTAACATCATATCTTTTCGGGGGCGGTGATACAAAGCAAGGACCACGTTGCGTAATATGATTGTCTTTGTGTTATTTGTGTCAGTGTACATTTTTTCTTTTTTCCTCCTTCAGGCGATGGGCATCAATGACCTCCTGGCCTTTGACTTCATGGACTCTCCTCCCATGGAGACGCTGATCACGGCCATGGAGCAGCTCTACACTCTGGGCGCTCTGGATGATGAAGGCTTACTCACCCGGCTGGGGAGGAGGGTGAGGAGAAAAGGAAAAGACTAACTACTAAACGTACTCACTTGTAACTCGCTGGTGCAGCTTTTTTGACTGGCATGGCAAAGCGGGCGATACCTAGAATTGGTTTATCCTCTTAAAGTCCAGCTGCCTTTTTGTGTTGATCTTCGTTAACGCATACCCTGTGGTGTCTGATTGCGGGGTTCAGATGGCGGAGTTCCCTCTGGAGCCGATGGTGTGTAAGATGTTGATCATGTCCGTCCATCTGGGCTGCAGTGAAGAGATGCTCACCATCGTCTCCATGTTGTCGGTGCAGAACATCTTTTACAGGCCGAAGGTTTGTGGTGCACACACGCGACCACATCAGACACGTCTAATGCTTCCGTAACGTCCGCGCACAGTGCTCAGGCCCTTCCACCTGTTGCAGGACAAACAGGCCCAGGCTGACCAGAAGAAGACAAAGTTCTTCCAGCCGGAGGGGGACCACCTGACCCTGCTGGCGGTCTACAACTCCTGGAAGAACAACAAGTTCTCCAACCCCTGGTGCTTCGAGAACTTTATCCAAGCCCGCTCCTTGAAGCGAGCTCAGGACATTCGAAAGCAGATGCTCAGCATCATGGACAGGTGGTTAAAAGCGTGACCTTTCAACTATTGGTTTCAGTTATTGTATTTCAGTGTTTTGTGTAAATGTTGAATGTAGTATGAAATCATCCAGCAGCACTTGATCTTCCACAGACACAAGTTGGACGTGGTGTCCTGTGGGACCGCGACGATGCGGGTCCAGAAAGCCATCTGCAGCGGCTTCTTTAGGAACTCTGCCAGGAAGCACCCGCATGACGGGTACCGTACCCTGATTGACCAGCAGGTGGTGTACCTCCACCCCTCCAGCACGCTCTTCAACCGCCAGCCAGAGTGGTGAGTCCTTATTGTGCTGCTTTTCTTTTTAATCTGTATCCCCCCACCATGATTTGAGCATAACTTGGAGCTCTTGTTCTTGTGTTCCTGCGGCAAATGGTCAGTTTATTAATTGATATACAGAAAATGAATTAACTTAATTCAAAAGGTGGATTGAATTTTGAATCATTGTCTTTAATATGGTCGGTAGATCAATCTGGAAAATTTCTAATTAGTACTTTTATTTGTATCCGTAGGTAGACTTGGTTTGCACTGATTACTGCATCAATTAATTGCAACTTAAACTAACAGCGGCACACGGAGCAGTGGTGTATAATACAAAACAGGCCTTTAACCGCTGTTTACCTGCAGATATTAAATGTCATTTTGCCCTCGCTGCACCTCCTGCAGGCTCGTCTACCACGAGTTGGTGCTGACCACCAAGGAGTACATGCGGGAGGTGACCACCATCGACCCCCGCTGGCTGGTGGAGTTCGCCCCGGCCTTCTACAGAGTCGGCGACCCGACGCGCCTCAGCCGGCAGAAGAGGCAGCAGAAGTTGGAGCCGCTCTACAACCGCTACGAGGAGCCCAACGCCTGGAGGATCTCCCGCGCCTTCAGGCGGCGCTGAGGGCCTCCCGTGCCTTTTTGAACCAGGTGGCCAGAGTTTATAATGAACAAAACCGGCTACCTACAGTCTGAGACGTTAAATTCTAACACATTTCACAATATAAAATATTCCACGTTTGCAAAAATGTTTTTTTCGTAGTTCATAAACACTTAAATGCATTTAGTTGTCGCTGACTGAATGATTCTGACTTGAGTATTTTATTTGTGTGCAAGGTGTTACCGCCAAACGCTGTGTCACTTAAAATAAATGTGCTTATTTGTCTGGGTAAATATTAGGCTGCTAATTAGCTTAGCACAACAACTGCAGTAAAAAAACAATTTTTGTTCTGGTACCGTGTGCTTACCAAAAATCCTTTTGCTTTGTCTCTTAGCTTCACATTGCCTTTTTAATAATCGTCAAGGTTACGGGGATCAGTCGTCCCGATTTTGGTTCTGGTCTTCATCTCTTTTTGAGAAATACCCGACTCATCCTCACGTAGTTTTCTGACTGCACAACTCCCTATGAGGCTCATCAGAAACATTTATTTGATTTACAGACCTTTTTATTTACTATAATATGTAAATAGGACTTTTATAGCAATACAGGAATGAATAGTCTCAACTTCGATTTGGGTATTACGGGTATTTATTACGCAATCTCTCCAACCACAGTCACGTTGATGGAGCGAAGAGGCCTCAGATGGGAGAAGAATGCAGCTCTTGAACATAAAAAAAAGAAATCCCTAATGAGATTAATTTAAAACCAAAACGCCACAGCCTTATATACAAGTGGATGGGGGGGGGGTGTGTGTGTGTGCAAGAGGTGCATGGGATTTCAGGGTGTGTATGATGCTGGGTCAGTACAACAAGATGTCTGTGGGTGGGGAGAAAGGGGAGGAGAAGTTGGGGGAGAAAGGGGAGGAGAAGTTGGGGGGGGGGGGTGGCTGGCATTTAGTACATGTAGCCTTTGGAGTAGGCCTGAGAGCCCATGTTTTGGGGGGCTTGTTCCGTTGCATAGGGCCCTCCCTCGTCCAGGTGGGACAGGGGCACCGTGTCCTCCTCGTTGACGTAGCGCTCAAACTCGGCCTTCAGGCTGGGCCGCTGATTGTCGGGAAAGGCCAGCGAGATGAGGGCCTCGGGCTCACACACAAACTTGTAAACGTAGCGCTCCCCTGCCACCTGGGGAGGGAGATGCAACGGCTCGAGTCACGGAGGATTCTTTTATCTAATGTAATGTTTCATTTAACAGAAATAGCCTTCCCTCATAATCAAAATGATCTTTTAACGGCGCATTAAAACATCAAAATAAGGATAGATTAGAAAAGAAGTGTGTGTTTTACCTTCTGCATGATTCCCTTCTCGTAGTAATAGCGCAGAGAGCGACTCAGCTTGTCGTAGTTCATGGCTGGACGGTTCTTCTGCATGCCCCACAGCCTGGCAACCTGGGGGGGGAGGGAGGGAGGAAGGAAATGGCTGGGGTTACCCTTCTGGCTTAGTTCAGCTCCGCTGAGGTTCATTTAACTGACAGCGGTTATTGGCTTTCATCTGCGGGGATTAAGATCGAAGCCCTCTTAATGACACAATGCAAAAATAATCCGTTTGTTCCCCAAATCATAGATCAGACAGTTGTGTGCATTTTCGTTCTGTGACCACCAGGGGCCCTCTGAGACAAAGAAAGTCTCCGCCGTTTAACTAGACAGCGTCAACATGCCCAGACCAGGGCGAGTCCCCACATGTGGATTCACTTCCTTTTTATGTAGCCATTACCACTTGAATGCACCCAGAGTCCCACAGTGTTCACAGTGAAAAAAACGAGTCATGGCTGGTTGTCAATGAAACACTCTGGCAGCCCCAAACTGAACCCTCAGCTGACGAGGGACCTCTAGTTCTGATGAGAATTGAGTCAAATCATTTCACAGCAGTAAGTGAGCTTAATGTTGACAAACATCTGTGATAGAGGAAGAAAGTGCAACGGGGGGCTGGATTCATGACTCAGGGAGAGACCGGGTGTCTCCCACAGCGGCCGTCCAGCCAGCAGCCCCGTTTGATCTCTAAGTGTGCTCTCAGCTCCTAATAGCTCTTGTAAAACCCTTAACCCATTCATTTTTAATGTACAGTGAGAAGATAATGGACAACACAGTAGAAGCCCCCCGTCCCCCTGCGAGGCCCCACCCAGATGCACACGCTCGGATTCGCCCCAAAACCAGAATGGTGAGAGGCACAGTGAGGGTGTTGGGTGATCGCGATCGTCCTTCATTCATCAATCCGGCAATTAATGTGTTGAATAATGAATGGGGGACTAATGGCAGACGGATAAGAATCCACCTCCGATCGCGGTATCGCCTCAAAAAAAGCTCCGCTAACAGGAATTCAGTCGAAGGAACATTGTGATTTCCGTCAACACGTCTCCCGTGTTTGTAGTTATGGAAAAACAAAACCGTGCTGATGGAACAGAAACACTCAAGCTGAGAGCAGTCGTCACACACATTTTCTGATTTGTGCCATCTGAACGAAAAAGAGTTGGAGACAAACCTCCTCGGGCTCGATGAGCTTGAACTCCATCCCGCGGCCGGTCCAGGCGATGAAGTGGGCGTTGCCCGGGTCGTCCAGCAGGGCCACCAGGAACTGCCACAGCTGCAAAGAGCCTCGGCGCTGGTAAGGTGCGCCCTCGCGGAAAACGCCACCGCCCTCCTGCTTCACCTCACCTGCAGGGAGAGAGGGGGGTCAAAAGGTCAAACGTCAACGAAAATCAATGAATCTTTCACTTTACACGCAACCAAATTGTTCTGATACTTTTCACTGCATCATCAAGTAAGGGCCCACAATGATTCTGGTTCCACGTGTACGAACAGCCAAACAGCTGGAAGACGTCTCTGAATTGTATTGGGGCCATTTCATCATTAGTCCTTCTAATCTTGATGTTCCATGTTTGCACACTGACGTAACCCGAATCAAATGCTTATCAACTACGGCTTATCGGATTGCCCGCTAAAAAAAGGGCAGCGGGGCGGAAACGGGGAAAGAAATAAAACAAAAAACAAAAATAGAAATGTGAAATGTGAAAAGCCAGTAGAAGATGCACTTTACTTGTGATGAAAATAAACAAATAATGGCCAACAGCGGGTTAAACAATACGCAGGTAAATGGAGCCTGATTAGTCTCTGGTTGTTGACCTGTTTACCCGATACGTCGTACACAAGTGACAGAACACGAGAAGCTCATCTAAGTTACTGCTGCTGTTGTCGTGTCGCACACTTCACTGCTTCAACCAGTGCCGACACCCTCAGGCCGTCCACTCAATCTGCTTCGGCGTCAATCACCCACGTCTCCCCCCCCCCATTGCCCCCCTCCCCCCGCTGCGGGAAACCAAAGCGCCCTCCAACCCCTCGAGTACACGAAGGCCGGCGCACGTGGAGCTTCTCTCCCCGATACCTTCCGCCTCAGCAAGTAGGGGGCAAATGGAAGTATGTGTGTGTGTGTGTGAAAGAATGGAGAGTGGGGGGGCGGGGGGGAGGGGGGCAGTTATGGGGGGCAGCTGGCTCACCTTCAAACTTCTCTGGAACCACACGGGAGTCACTTTCAAACAGATAGCCTGGGAGACAAAAGGGAGAATTGTGTTAGAGCTCGAGGGGCCTCGACCTTCGCACGACTGGGTTGTTCGTTGGGGATCGGAGCCAAAGATACAAGGATCTTATTCACGCATGAATAACGTTGAGCCAATAAGTGAAAACTCGGCTTCTACCAAAGGGAGAGGATTTTATAATGGAAACATAAACAGAGTGTTTGGATCCCATTAAAAAAAACAGTGAACTTATTGTAACGCTTTGAGGAGTCGTTCCAGGTCTGTTGCTGAATAAGAATTGGAATAACACAAAATGGTTTAACAATGAGAATAAAGAGCGGTTTTATGTTTATTCAGCGATTCTTGAGGTATCGGTGAGGCCGAAGCCTCTGCCAACGGAAACACGGACACGCCACTGGTTAGCCAGTAGAAACACGGGAGACTGCGCTGGTTGGCCAATGACCGCAGCGCTCTAACCAGCGGCGCCTCGATGAAGATAAAGCACTGCAGGGCAGAACGTGCAATTAGAATACTGACATCCTTCGACTGAAAAACAACAACACTGGCCGAGGCCTCTGGAAGGGGATGAAATGAATGTTTGTTGTGTAACCGTTGTGTTACCTTCGTTGCTGTGCTGCGGGTTTGCGTAGGCCTCACTGTGCTGGTACATAGAGGGACATCCAGGCACATCTGCAACAGAACACAAATGGCTTAAAGATTTGGTTTATTAGTCCGTTTCATGGCGGAAAGCGGTGACGGGACGGACGTCCGTCCATTTATCGATCCACCCTCACATTTCACCCAGAGCCGATTTGAAGCCCAATCTGAGCTTGAGATGGTGGGGGTATAAAAAGAATATTTTGCGTGGTCACCTTTGAGCATTGCAAGGACAAACTCTGCATTCATCAGATCACTTTTACTCTCGGGGGGTATTTTTAGGCCACGAGCAAGCGGTGCTACAGTATACAGCCGGGACTATTGACTGACTCCAATAGGTGCATTCACCAAAATAGATCCGATGTCCCTCCTCATAAACCTTTAAGCTGCACCCCCTGCAAGTCAAAGCACGCATTTACATCATGAGCCAAGTTCTTTTTGGTGGTTCCTGCACTGCTCGCCTTTTGTCTCTTTTGTATCCGTCTGAAAAATGAAAAAAAAGGTGTAACAAATTCTTCTATGTACCTTTGTCCCTTTCTGTCAACTGCATGAACGAGACGGGAGAGAGCATAAAAAAAGAAAAAGAAAAAAGGTGGAGCCCTTTGCCTCCGGCTCCAGCCGTGACTCACTCTCGGGGAATGCAGCTGCAGCGCTGTGACCGTGATAAGATGGGGGGGGGGGCAAAATCAAACCCTCCCCTCTGGAGCGGCAGCACTCCATCATTCTGTAAATAATACGTCCCACTCGGTGGTGTATTGGGTGGGAGAGCGGCAGGGTTAATTGTGCACTAATTGGCATCACCATTTTGTGTCAGTCACGCAACACAAAAGCAGCGATTAAGCGAAATAATCCCAATTTGTGTGTGAAACGAGTCTCGGGCTGCAGCTTTCTAGAGTGGGACGGAGGACTTGTGGCTCTCATCACATTAGAAGAATACACTGGCGTTGTCTTTGCACGCCGTTTATGTCATTCCACCTCTTTTGTGCGCTCAAGTACCGTTTTCCCAGTACATGCTAATGACCTGAGGTCATGGGACAGTTCTTTTTTTTATATTAAATGAACAAAATTACATTATAAATTGGCAGGAAATAATCCATCATTTAAGACAATTTGTTTCTATGAACCGATTGAGTGTTTTGTTGGCTGGAAACATCCATTCAAAAGCTTTATAAAAACAAACCTCTCATTAACTGCCTAAATTAAACAAGAGGGTCTTTATCCACACTGCTAATTAGATTTACATAACTTAATGTGAATGTTGATTATTTCCCCTTTTAAAGACTACCTCGAACAAATGGCCACTTTAATATTGGCCTCCTTCTTGGCTCGCGTATTCACAGATCTGGTGGTCGGACACGTTCAACATTATCTGCAGCTTTAAGGCTCCGTCATCTCATTAATAGTGCGGCGTGTTGCACAGCAGTCTACAAAACACGTGATCAACTCGGATCGTTTACGTGTGACCGGCCTCCGCTGTCGCTCAAACTCTTATCTGAACCACTTCTGAGGAAACTCCACCTAATGTTACTTTCTCCTCCACCCGGCAGTTATCCACGGAACAACATCCTTTTGTGCTTTTTCCTCTCTTTTCTCAGGGCTGTTTGATTCCTTGTCAGTCACTATCAAAAAAGAGTTAGGTCGCTTTTCTTCAGGTTTTTATTATGCACGCATGCAAGGCGCCACAAACGTGCACATGGGACTTGTGGGAATCTCAACAATAGCTTCTGGGTCGTGTGGCAGCGCTGATGCAGGTGAACGAGGACACGAGTGTGTGGCGAGTGTTACATTTCTCCCCCTTGTCGTTTGCAATTCACAGAGGCCAGAAGAGGAGTCTCTGTGCTCTCCAGTGGTTCGGCTCCTTGTCCAGAGCGCCTGCGCCGGCTGCTCCACCCGTCACCTCCCTCCCCCGCTGCCGCAGCCTCCCCTCACCCGCTCTCCCAAAGCCCGGCCAGTTAGAGGTTCGGGTTACTGCGGCCACGCTCATTTTTCCATTATGAGTTCATCTGCCTGCAGAAAAAGGAAGCCGCTGGTGCAACCCGAGACCCCGCAGCGCTCCACCAGGGACTCTAGTCTTTCCAGTGCCCTCCATTTTCTCAATGAAATTCCTCTGACTCTCCCTCGGAGGGAGGGAAGGGGGAAAGGAAGAAGGGAGGAGTGGAGCTGCAGGAGAGAAAAATATTTTTCTTTTCCTTTGCATAGTGTCAGAGTTGAAAGGAGGAGTTTTCGAGGCGGGGAGGGTTTAGATACAGTGAAAACGTTTGTTTGCCTTTTGGACATTTTGTTCTGGAGTTGCCTTTGTACACAGGGGAGGGTTTTGCCTTCAAACAGACTCAAATCTCAAAGACTCCTTATAAATCATTTCCACCATTGTTAGGATTCAAGCTACACATGTTGACACATATGAAACGTATCCGTCCATTTTGTTCTGTCTCTCTACAATCCAAAACACAGTGAGAAACCTTCAGTAACCCCTCGAAAGATTATGGGATACTCCTGAATATCACTGGAACAACCCGTGGATAAATCCATCTCTCCCTCCACAGAATACGATAAGCTACTAATTTAATAAACATTGGCTGATTCTTTCCTCTCAATGGCAGAATATGCTGCATATTATGTTTAGAAAAGTCTTTCTGTTGCTTGGACAAAAGATATTTCAACCTTGTACGTGACGACCATTTACACTTCTGATATTTCATAGACTCAAACCTGGATCACTTGATTAGAAACATGAATGTGGTTTGTGTTGCGGTGCATTAAACACACTGCAGTGACTCACCAGGTTCGTAGGTGTAGTCTGTGGGCTCCTGCTTCACCATCACGTGGGCTGGGGGGAACCTGTGTGGGTTAGGTTGCGAGTGTGGGTGGGGGTGTTGGTGCGGGTGTTGGTGGGGGTGTGGTCCGTGTCCCGGTCCGCCCCTGTGCCCAGGCCCCGCCATGTGGGCCGCCCGCTCGTACAACGGGTCCAGGTATTCTTGCTTAAAGCTGTGCTGCAGGTAAGGCATGCAGGGGTCGGAGTGCTGCCGGTGATAACCACCTCCTCCTCCGCCTCCGCCCCCGCCACCCGGACCTCCACCAGCTCCACTGCCACCATGACCCGCTGGGGCAGACGGCATGCGTTGAAAGGCCGGGCCTGGTGGTGGGAACTGGGGACACATGGGGTCTCCTGAGGGGCCCTGGTACCTGGAGCTGAGAAATGAGACACAGCAGCTCAGGATGGGTTTTCTCTCTTCATTATATAACAAGTATATATTCTGTAGTACATAAACACAATTTACTATATATCACAAGCATGATATTTCCCATCACTTTTAACTCAAGTGTGTCTCAAAATGTCAATCACAGTGCTGCTTCACCTGGCGTTGATGGGGTAACTGTTGCTGGGCAACGGCTGGGAGGCGGCAGCGGGGTTCATGTAGCCGGCATCGGGCCGTCCGGCCGTGGCAGGTTTCGGGGAGTAATGCTGCTGCATGGGAGACATGGGGGTCCCAGGGCAGGAGCTCTTGGCTCCTCCTGCGGCCCTTTTCTGCTCATAGGCACTGGAGGACACAGAGACACTGGTGAGTTCACGCGTTCATGCTTATTGTGCAGAGAGACAACCAATCGCTTTTGCATTCGGGCCCAAAATTAAATTAACGGACAATCTTCTTCACTTCATTGGCAGAACGTGGCGCTACCTGGCATAAAGGCACTGCTCTCCGCCCGGGTAGCTGAAGCTCTGCTTGTGGCTACAGGACTGGCTGGGGTCAGAGCCCGGGCTCTGCGGTTCCTTCTTGATGGTGACCGGAGGGCTGTGAAATGCCACCGCTACAAGAGACAATAAGGAGAGAACAGACATAACGGTTGGAACGCGAACACACACACACACACACACACACACACACACACACACACACACACACACACACACACACACACACACACACACACACACACACACACACACACACAGGGCTTTGCATATTCTTTTCCCATTCAGCCCTGCCCCGATACTACGCTCGTTAAGCTCCAACACAAAAGCAAATACTTCTGTTTGCACACGAATCTTTTTTACGTGCCGGGCGAAATGCTTAAGTGAGTGACTGTTTGGCCGCCGCACGCACGCACAAACACAGCATTCCAGCAGTCATTTGAAAACATAAAAAGGTCCTCGCCCCCTTTTCTCCCAGACACAACAGCAGCCATAACTTCCTCGTTTCAAAGTGGGGCGTAAAAAGTTAAACAGTCCCACGGGGCAGAGAGGCGTCTGTGGACTGATGAAGTCCAATGTGACGCCTCTCCCAGACCCGCATGCGCACCGATTAGGTCCCCGCATTCTTTCCTATTGGTATCAAGATGTTAGCCACCCCCCCCCCCCCCTCCCCCCCTGTGTGCTTTGCTTTTGCCTCAGGATTGAGACGGCATCGAGGACGACGCCACGTTTATCCTCAAAAGACCCAAAACACTGGGCAGCATTTCTGCCATTTCACCCCCCCCGCCCGCCCGCCCCAACAGGCATCCATTCCATCTCCAGCACACGGAGCTGTCCATCAAGCTGAACTGCTGGAGGGGACCTTTGCCCTGATGGCCACAAAAACCACCCAAAGTGGAGCTTCAAACTGTGCAGAGGGCTTGTGTTTATTATGTGAGGGGAGGTTTTCACCCGGAGAACTGTACAGGATGTTTTTCTGGTCCCGACAGGGTAAACAGCAGCAGCTGTGCACTTCCAGCTGGGGGAGGCCTGTATTTATGTGCGCGCACGAGCGTGCGTATTAAAAAAAAATCTCTGCGTGTCTGAATCCGTGGTGAATGTGAGCGTGTGTGCGCTTGAGTGTTTATTTGTGTGTGTGTGGAGTGGGTGTGTGTGTGACTGACGGAGCAGGCCACACCGAAAGCTGAAAGGTCATTACATACCGACGTCCATTCACAAAAAACTAAAAAGGAGGGGGGGAAAACGGTTCGGCTGCCTGAATAAGGCCGGAGAGAACTGCTTCACCAAGACGGGAGACAGACAGTGAAGAAGACAACAAAAGGACAAAGGGCGTCAAAAAAGTAAGAAGGCGAATTAAGACAAACTGCCTTGAGGATCTGCCGTCACTCAGGATTTTCCCTCAAAATTGAGGATGTTGGTTGTAATTCATTGTTAAAAACTAGAATAAAAAACTGATTTAAACAGGTTTGATTTAATGCAAACTAATAAGTTCAACAACGATTACTCAAATCATTGGAAAGGGAAAAAAAACACAGCAGCGATGACCAGGATATAGAAGAGCTTAGGTGGGTTCCCTTTTTTTTCCCTCCTTTTCTCACCTAAACAATCCGGTGCGCTCAAAAAAAAAAAAAAAAAAAAAAAAAAAAAGCTCCTCCTCACCATTCAGATGTTTATTTCACCATTCGATTCTCATCCGTCCTCCACTTGGAGAATGAATACAACGATAAAACTGAGTGCAACAGTCATCCGTCATCATATCATCCTCGCCGCCCCCATTTCGGGTCTGTACTCACTCTCCCATGGCAGGCGCGCAGGTGAGGAAGTGTTGGCTTTAGTGGAGGATCAACGGGATTAAAGAGCATTTACCCAGATTTCCCAGACAGACGCGATGGGATTCCAGGCTCCTTTAAGTCTCCGACAGCGCGTCTGCTCGTGCACAGAGGGTGGCACATGACTGGTGCTCTAATAATACTAGTGTGTTTGTCTATTGCCACTGCATGCGCCCCCCCCCGCCTCACCCCTCAACCTCCCTCCTTCTCTCTTCCATGGTCATGAACTGCAAACAATCCTCGGAGAGTGAACACTCACGGTGCAGCCGAGTGGAGCCGCTAATGCAATTGGCAGGAATATTTCCCTTGATGTGGCTCTCGGTTTATGAGGATGTTCCATTTCAAAAAGATCCTGCCTGGGAACGGTGCTGTGTGTGTGTGTGTGTGTGTGTGTGTGTGAGAGACTTTTAATGAATTAATCTGGTAAATGAGCTTGGGGCAGCGTGTTTGATTGTTGTGTGTTGCATCGCTCGCGTTTCTAATTAGATAAGACGGTTGATGTTCCGATTCGGGGGAAGAAATTACTAAAACTAAACATACACTTTGGTATTTAGATGACGAGAGTCTACAGAAATGCAAGAGGCACGTTGGAAATGTACAAAAAAGTACAGCGTCAGTGACAGAAGCAACAAACGGCGATAATACGAACCACGTTCACCTGAACTCTGGTCTCTACCAACTTCTACGAACTCTTTGCAGCTAATCTAACGTTCCCAAATGATGTCAAATTTGCTGCTAAAGTTTATACGGTGGAGGCAGTGTTGTAAACGGATCCAGGGAGAGTTATGTTCTTTACTTCCCCGTCGCTTCCTGCCTTCATTCGGGACAATAAGACCATCTTAACTGCTTCGTGAAATGTTACATCACCCTTTCACGGCGATCCTCATATTTCAGTTTCTTTTCTACAAAACGGGTTCATGAACTTCAGAACAGAGCGAAAAGAACGGAGTCAGTTCACGAATTCAAGAACAAGGCGAGGAAGCTGGAAGCTGTTTGGAAGTGAAAAGACAGATCCTGTACACAACAGCCGATGCCTTTTAAAACACGTTTGAGATAAGGCAGAGGGGTGGACACTGAAGAGCACGCGAGCATCGAAGCGTGTGGTTGGACACGCACGCTCCCTCCTGGAGCTCTGGGCCGAGGGCGAAAGATTCCCAGCAAGCTTACAAGGCCAAAGGCCTCTTCCTCCCTACAACCTTCGCTCCCTTATCTCCTCCAGCCTTAAACCGAGGTATTTTTTGCCGTCTCCCACTCTCTCCCTATTAAGAGCGCTGGGCACAGAGATGGACCCCCCCCCCCCCCCCAGCTGAAGGCAGGGTGGAGGTGGACTTTAACATATGTAAATGTTGGTTCCTAGAGGGGGAGGATGCAGGGTGAAAGGTGATGGTCATGGTTGAGTGCTTTAGGAAGTAGAGGGATCATTACATGGGGGGGAGGAGGGGAGGGTCCCATTCAACAGACACTCACCACAAACACATCGCAGGAGCAGGGATGGCACCACCCCCCCCCCACACACACACACACACACCCACACATAATGGGCCCCTCAGCTGAGCCGTACGGCGGTAGTGTGAACATGTCAGGAAACACTATGGGATTCCTGTGGGATTTGTAAAAAACACAAATGGTGCGGACAGAGCGATCCACTAGAACAACTCGTCAACGGGGGTTTGGTTTGCACACAGATGGTGGCGGCGATGCAATAAAGGTTAATATATAAAACGTTGGATTGATATACTTTCAGAATTTCAGATGTTGACGCTTTTTTAGTAAGAAGCCAGATGTGTATTGAAAGAGACACGTTTGGGATTAAACCCTTAAGCGTAGCAACCAAAACACTTCAGAATCACTTGTGAGTGAGCCGTTTCCAGCGGTTTGACGAGACCTCACTATGAACTCCCCCATCCGAGTGCATTTCCTACCATTAAAGGCACTTGTGTAGGGAAATCCAACCTGAAGACGGCAGCGGATCTGGAAAGTCTTACACTGGATGTTTATGCGCGACATGGCCAAGTCTTAAGCCTCTGGAAGTCTGCAGCACACGACAGCCTCGCTCACAATAACTCATTGGACATCAGCCCCAATGTCAAACGGGGTGACTGGATTCTTTTACTAAACTAAACCGAAAAAAATGGTGGAGCGTGACGTAAATACTCACTTAATGGGTCCAATCACACGATTCAAGCGGCCCTGTTACAGGAACCCTGTCGGGGCGATCTGGAGGTCTGGTTCACCTCTCGTACGCGTAGTGCATGTGCGGTGAAAAAAAACGGAGCGAGGCCTCAACATGCTCGCACACTGAAGGCCTGCGACAGGCTGCACCTGGTTCCACTACCCCTGCAGATTGATCCCTCATGTGGCCTCGGATCAATGAAAACAAGCAGGCCGATTATGCCACGACGGTTTTGAAAAGGAAGGTATTGATCCACGCGTGGCTCGTAAATGACATTAGTTGCTTGTGGCGGCATTGTGGCGAGAGGGAAGCGCAAAAGCAGCGGCGTCGGTTGGATTTGACAGTCAAAACATCAGTTAACTGCTTTCATGGTAAACGTTGAGCCTCAGAGCTTACATGCACTTTCCAAGTTTAGGTTTAATTACAGGGTTTTGTTCTTAATGGACATTAAATGCTTGAATTAAAAGCTGATAATGCGTCAGATTTCCTGAGCTTGAATCAAGAGAGCACGACTAATTATTAACGTTACTTCTCAAGAACAGGAAAAGGTTTTCAGTCTGGCAAACCTAGAAAGTGATTATTTCATTCTACTTTAAACTAATGACGTTAGCCCAAAATCAGTGACACTCGTTACAAAGAAATAAAATAATAGAAATGCATATGTAACAGTACGCGGCTGTGTGATTCAAAAGTAACGTAACCGACACAAAACAAAAGTAAAAAGAATTCCACCGCAGCCTTTTGAAATTGCATTTAACAAAACAAAAAAAAGTGTAACAAAATGCTAAGCTATACCGCGCTAACGTTATCTAGCTAGCTAGCTAACGTTAACTATATACGTCAGCAGCGAACATGATACAAGTTGTTCTACCCTGAGGTCTGTTTTAAAAAAATATATACGTTAAGTGTTTAATATGAAGTTTGTCTTCAAACAGACTTACTTGCGTACTAAAAGATAATCCATCAAGATAACTGGTCACCATGAAGGTGGAAGTCCCAACAACAGCAGATGACAGCACATGGCTAATAGCCAATCAAATCTCAGCAGTAGAACCTGCTTTGGCTTTGCGCATTACGGTTTTATCTCCAGCCAATATATTCTTACACTGAACTT